AGTTCTAAACTATAGTTACTCCAAGTGATGGCTCAAGAACTAATCCACAAGCCTTTAAGTTAATTAGAGGTGATTTTTATAAATATTATAATAAATAAAATTTAACTTGCACACATATTAGGAAATCTCAAGAAAAAAAAGCCAACTGTCTCCAACCTCCCTCCTTTTTCAGGTACCCTTTATCTTGGCTCGATTCATTGAATTTAGCGTTATCCGATGGGAATCAATCACCTCTTTGCCGCAATAAAATGAAATCCTTAATTAAAAACAATAAAATGTAAAGTACATGCATTTCTCATCAGGATTTAGGGATTGGGATTACATAATGATGGTTAGACTGAGATACAAGTTGATGGTTGCATGATGAATTTTTTGAGATATAACAAATTGGAAAAATTATACTTATAATATTATATAATATATTATAAATTTATAATTATAATATTTTATTACATAATCAATTTTTTTTATTTAAAAAATTACACATAATATTATACATATTTATTTATTTAATATCATTTATTATTATAAATTTATATTTTTATATAGTATTAAAAATATATCAATTCTTATAACTAACTAGAAAATAGGGGCTTTTTCTTTAGGTCCCCTTGGGTCCGCTGGAGTTATGAAATGTGTTCTTTAGAAAACAGTGTTCTAAAGTAAAATATTTAGAAAGTATAATATTCTCTCTCTTTTTTTCTTTTTGAAAATAAAATTTCTTTTCCTTAATCTCACTCCATTGATTTCAAAATTCAACTTGAGGTTTATCATTTAAAATTTTAAGTTTTTTAATCACTTAAAATACTCTTTAAAATAAAATATTTTTATTTTAAATCAATCTATATACATATCATTTTAAATGTCTAAAGAGGACAATAGCTTGCATAAAAAACTAATTTAGTATAAAGTACATAATACACTTGTTTCAAATCAATCTACATACATATCATTTTAAATGTCTAAAAGAGGACAATAGCTTGCATAAAAACCTAATTTAGTAAAAGGTACATAATACTCTTGTTTTAAATCAATGTAAACAGGACAATAGCTTGCATACAAAACTAGTTTAGAAAAAAGTACTTCAAGCTATAGAATGGACAACACTAAGCTTCAATGATGGGTACGATTATATACACAAATATAGTTTACAAAATAGACGTGCACATTTGTTTTTCAAAAACTTTTTAAAATAAGATTAAATGTTAAATTTGGTCCCACAACTTTATAGAGTTGTATTTTTTTGGTCCCTCAACAATTTTTTGCATATTTTTTATCCCTCAACTCTAAAAAATGCACAACATTTGTCCTTCCATTAATTTAGCCGTTAACTCCACCCACGTGACATTTTTTATATTTTTTTTGATGACATGGAGAAGACAACAACTGTTTTCTGATGACATGTCATCTTCCCGTGACAAAACCCCTCTAATGAGTCCCACATTACTTGCAAAAACCACTGATAAAGAAAGATGTCTTCTGGGTTTCTCTTTCAGCAATAAAAAAAAATCTAAAAACTTACAAAACAGAGATTTTCTTCAAACCCAAATCCAGATTTTCTTTAAGATTGCAGAAATTTTCTCAAAGAATTATCATGTTTTCCTTGTTCGTTCTCCTTTAAAGTTCACTAAGAACCCTACATTTGCGAGGATTCCAAAGATTTTTCATAGATTTCACTAATTAATCATCATTAAACTATAATTACTTATGTTAATCAAAATTGAGATTCTAAATTAATTTATAATTAAATCATAATTTTCTCATCAAATTTTCTGAACAAAACAGATTGAAACCATTTTCTCAGTAGCCAAACACCCAAACTGTACACTTTTCTAGCCAAACAAATGGAAACCCACTAAAAATTTCTTCTTTGCCCATCGGTCACTGCTCCTGTTCTTTCCATCGTCGATGATGTTCTTTCCATTTTGAACATTAAAATCATTTAGACAATAATTAGGAAATATGAAGCAAAAGGATCCCAAAAATCCCTCACAACCTGCAATTTGCATAAACTCTTCACAACAAATATATAACCAAAAAAAAAAAGTGGAGCTAGGTTCGATGGAACCCAATTGTTTGGTTCCTCAAACCCAGCAAATCTGGGTTTTGGGTTCGACGGAACCTAGCCTGGGTTCCACCGAACCCAGTAGATCTAGGTTCGATGGAACCCAGTTGAACCTAGCAGATGGGTTCCATCGAATCCGAGCTGGGTTTGAGGGAACCCAACAACACAAAGGAGGAAGAGGAAGAAAGAAAAAGAAGAAAGGAAGGAAGAAGATGGATCGAAAAAGGGGAAGAAGATGGATCAAGAAAGGGAGATAGGGGTACTAAGGTAAATTTGTAGTTTTTATTTTTTATTAAAAATATAAATATTAATCTAGTTTGGTATATGCGAGACATGTCATAAAAAAAATTTTAGATCATCACATTTTAAAGTTGTTTTCGTCATGTTATCAAAAAATATATAAAAAATGCCACATGGGTGGAATTAACGGCCCAAATTGACGGAAGGACAAACGATGTGCATTTTTTGGAATTGAATGATAAAAAATGTGCAAAAAATTGTTAAGGGACCAAAAAAGTGCAACTCTATAAAGTTAAGGAACCAAATTTAGCATTTAACCTTAAAATAATTTAACTAGAATCATCATTTTTATAAGATTTTTTTTTTTTTTTTGAAAATAGGTAATGATTTTATAAGATATTGATTTGTCTTAACGTCAAGCACAACATTGTTCTAGTTTCTAAGTACAACAAGCATGAATACTTATACCAAAAGTTCTTGAGTTTTTGTGACCTTCTACTCAAACAATTTAATTAAAATGAGAGAAATAGCAGGAGTTAAACGCCAATATAAATTAAAATTATAAACTTGGGTTTTAAAATCTATAAACATTAATACCCATCATAACGTACAATCATATTAAGCCATATAAAATCATAGGCCAAATCAATTGTTAGACTCAGCATTTTATAAAAGAGTTCATAATTAATTAATTACTCCAAAGTAATCTATTTACAAAATAATTCAGTCACACATATTTTTTAATATTATTTTTAAAAATATTGGTTCGATTTGTTTTAAATATTAGAAATAATTGATAACATTAAACATTAGTTGATAACTAATACAATATAATATTTATTAAGTAATATATTTAAATCAATCTACAAGATAATATTTCAAATTAACATAACTAAATGTTAAAAAAAAAAACTAAAATTATGTGTCTATATTTTTATGTGTGTAACAATAACTACATATATTATAATATTATATGTACACAATATAATATTTATTAATTAATATATTTAAATTAAATTATGTGTAACAATATAATATTTATTAATTAATATATTTAAATTAAATTATGTGTAACAATATAATATTTATTAATTAATATATTGAAATTAAATTACAAGATAATATTTTAAAATAACATAACTAAATGTTTAAAGAAATAAATAAAAATATATACATATATTTTTACATGTGATAATAATCACATATATTATTATTATTATTTTTGAATAGGGGGAAATTTGGGTAAAAGGAGAATAGGGGGTTATTATTTCAATTTAAACTCTGATCGAGACTAAAAATTAAGCACACCTAAACCAAGACAACTAAAACTACGGTGCAATAAACACATATATTATAATATTACATATTCACAAAACAAATATCATAATCATAAATCACAAATACATAATGCTATAAAGTCTACATATGTGTGCTATAAAGTCTCAAATGAGTGCTACCAAACACATTTTCCAAGCCTCGAAAATCTTACGCCATTGCTTAGATATCCACAAATTATCACAAAGGAATGAATTGGCTACCCCAAATTATAGGATTGCGACCACCTTCACCCACCTTCACCTACCACTCACTACATAGCAGCACGCACAACCACCCCCGCCCCCCTCTCTCTATGATAAGTAAAATAATAGAGGATGATAACTTTCTCTCTTCCTTTTATCTCATTCATCCATTAATCTCAAGATTCAAATTTAAAATTTTTTTATTTTAAACTTTAAAATTTTAATCATTTAAAATACTTCTTAAGATATAATATTCTTGTTTTAAATCGATATAAATGATTCTTTAAAATAACCTACATGCGTATCATTTTAATTTTCTAAACAGGACAATAACTTGCCTACAAAACTATATTAGCAAAAAGTACATAATACTCTTGTTTTAAATCAATATAAACTGGACAATAACTTCCACATAAAACTAGTTTAGCAAAAGGTACTTCAAGTTATAGAATGGACAATGCTAAGCTTCCATGATAGGTATGATTATACACAAAAACATAGTTTACAAAATAGACATGTGCGCATTTGTTTTTCAAAAGCTTTTCAAAATGATTTAATTAGAATCATCATTCTTGTAACACATTAATTTATCTTAACAGAAAGCACAACAAGCATAAGAAACTTATCCCAAAAACTCTTAAGTTTTTGTGACTTACTCAAACTACTTATTTGAACTGAGAGAAATAGGATGAAGTAATCCATAATATGAATTGAAGTTATAAACTTAGGTCTTAAAATCTATAAATATTAATACTTGTTATAAGAAACAATCATGCTAAGCCATATAAAATCACAGGTCATAGCAATAGTTAGACTCAGCATGTTATAAAAGAAATCATAATTAATTAATTACTCCAAGGTGATCTATTTACAAAATAATTCAAACTCATAGGTATGGTTATAACCATACACAAAATTATTGTAGTCATACAAATTTTTTAATATTACCTTTAAAAATATTGATTTGGTTTATTTTAAATATTAGGAATAATTGATAACGGTAAGTATTAGTTGATAATTAATAAAATAAAATATTTATTAATTAACATATTTAAATTAAACTACAATATAATATTTTAAAATAACATAACTAAATGTTTAAAGAAAAAAAAACTAAAAATACACACATATTTTTTATATGTGGTACCAATCACATGTATTATAATATTACATGTTCATAAGACAAATTTCATAATCATAAATCACAAATACATAATGCTATAAAGTCTACATATGTGTTACCAAACACATTTTTCCAACCTCCAAATCTTACGCTATTGCTTAGATATCCACAAATTACCTCAAGTGAATGAATTGAATGTCTCAAATTAAGGATTTGGATGACTTTCTCCTGCCACCACTCAGTCCATGACCAAACACACATGTGAATGGCAGACATGTTCAGAATACACGCGTGAAATTTCACTTCGTAAATTACTGGAATATCCTTATAATCCTCAGGCATGACCCTACTTGAAAATTTATTTCTAGACCTTACATATATATATTTTTTTTGGTGGAATAGACCTTACATATTTGGTAAAACATCAGTGTCGAATGAAATTTTTTTATATTGTGAAATTGTGTTAAATACTATTTAATAAAAATACTATATTTTATCTCACTTAACACAATTATTATTTTGATATTGTAGTATAGTGTCAAATACTTATTAAGGTAAAACCTTTTGAGTTAAATTTAGGTTAAAACCCCTTTTTGGTCCCCGAACTATTGTACGGACCCCCGATTTAGTCCTTGAACTAAAAAAATCCCTGACTTGGTCCCTACTGTTTACCCATTTTACCCCAACTTGGTCCTTCCGTTAAAAATATAGTGACGTGTCTCGTTAATTAACTGAGTATGATGATATGTCAAAATTTCTGACACGTCAACTGTACACATGGACAAAACACGTCAGATTTTGGGCCAAAAAAAATTAAATTGTGGGGCCCACCTCCAGCCCCTCAAACGCACTATCTTCTCCCCCTTCTTCCCCTTTCAAACCCTAGAAGAGCAGTTATCCACTGGGTTCTCGAAGGAACCCAGCCGCTGGGTTTCGTTGGAACCCAAGAGCTGGGTTCTTTCGAGAACCCCTGGGTTCTCGAAGAAACCCAGCACCTGGGTTCTTTCGAGAACCCAGCACCTGGGTTCTTTCGAGAACCCAGGTGGCTGGG